CGAGCGTGCCTCTGGCGTGTCAGAGGACGAGTCTGAAAAGACTCGTCTTTTGGACGATCTTGTTGCAGCATACGACGACGCGAAGGAGGAAGAAGCGCAGAAGGCCGCACTGCAAAAGAAGTCGCTGGAGGACAGCGAACAAGTAGGTCACATCATTCGTGAGGAGGCCATGCTGTCCCTAGGAAAACGTAAGAAGGCACGTGACGACGAAGGTTCGGGTCGCGGCGGCAATAGCAAAGTTGTTCGAATGATGGCAATGATGCACGAACAAGTCAAGGCTGACATGGAGTTCCAACGTATCAAACACGCGAACGAGATGGAAGAGCGCCAAAAAGACCGCGAATTGTTTGCCCAGCAAATTCGTCATCAGCAGGAGTCGATGACTGCATTGATCAATTTGTTAGTGAACAAGTCGTAATTTGTTGATAACCATTTCTTAAATTTCAACAATTCTTAGCATGCCCAAATATTCATCAAGTGTTGGCGGTGCTAGGTCAAAAAATTGACTGATTTGGTTTCCTTGGAAGTGGCAGCAGTGGCAATTGGTAAGGAGCATTGCGACTGACACAAACTTGGCGACTGGCGACAGACGAATCTTAGAGAGGACTTTGAGCGTGATGAACGCCCACAAGGATTTCAGAATCCTAAAATTCCACTCGACTGATTGGCGGACACGGCTCATCCACTTGTTGAAGTCCCGCTTCAACTCGCACACATCATTTCCTTTGTACCCTGACAGGAGGTACTTGACCATTCCATAGGCAGGATCACCGTAAATGTATTTGTTGACAAACACATCACGGTGACTGTCCAGGTAGGTCAGCAACTCGCTGTGACGCAACATGGTGGAGTCGTGCTTACGTCCCTCAACAGGGCCATAAAAGTGCACGCATATACCGTCAGGGCAGGTGACGCCTTGGTAGTTAAGGCAATGGATCCGCTTGTGCCCGCTGTAGATTTGCCGTTGGCGATTTATTCCGTCGCCCATCGGGCTGATGCGGCA